CTCTCTCTCTTTCTCTCTCTCTCTCTCTCCCCTTCTCCCCCAACCGGTCGAGGCAGATGGCCGCCCACCCTGAGCCATGGTTCTGCTCGAGGTTTCTGCCTCTTAAAAGGAAGTTTTTCCCTGCCTCTGTCGCCTAGTGCTTGTTCTTCGTAGGAATTGTTGGGCTTCTGTAAATAACATCATAGAGTATGGTCTAGACCTGCTCTTTTATGAAAAGCGCTGTGAGATAACTGTAGTTGTGATTTGGCGCTATATAAATAAAATTGAAATTGAAACTGACATGGTAGTATTTCCTTCAGACCGTCTAAAAAGACACAGAACCCGTTTGAGACTGTACTGGATGAGACGAGCGCACTGCTGTTGTGATGTGGAAAACCAAAACTGGAAACACTGAGTGATCAGACATAAATCTCATCACAAATCCACACAAACGTTAACTTCAGCACCTCTGATAAAGTATAGATCACAGTTGCTTCAGAGGGAAGCATCTTGGAGCAGAGAGACCGTCCCAAACAGAGCAAAGGTGTCTCTAAGTGAGGGGGACAGAGACAGCAACGACACAGAGTGATGCTGATGTTATGATCACAATTTTTTCCAAACAAGTTGTTTAAGGTCTCAAACTAAACAGTCACTTTCATTCAATGTTAAATGACATTAACTGTAAAACATTTCAATTTCTTTTTACAGTGTATGATGTTCTACTCCCCTGCCAGTCTCTGTTATTTCTGCAACAGTTGAGGATGAGACCACTTTTTGATTTATGGCCGAATAGGCGCTGCTGCATCTTAACTCAGTTGGATTTGACTTCTTCACCTTATCGCCAGTAATCGAAGACGAGAGCGACAAGCAATAATGAGTTATCCTCCTTCTCATCAGTGTCAAGACTTTCATCTAACATCAAAATTTAGAAGATTGTATATTACAGATTGTTTATCACCAAACTGTCAAGACGTTGAATAAGTGCTTTTGCAGATAGACAGTAGTCAGACACTTGGATGAGATGTTTACAAACCACAATCTCCAGTTTTTCTATCTTTTTTTTAAATAACGTAATATGCTAGGATGCATGTACCTGTACTCAATGTGTCCCTTTAAAGGAATAGTTCACTATTTTGGGAAATACTCTTATTCACTTTCTGGAGGAGAAAAGATTGATAGGCATCTCAACAGAGCAAATGCCAAACGACTAGGATGCGAATAAGCATATATATTAATTAGTGCTGGGCAACCATCAAGCACAAAATTGAACAATGAATTCTAAAGTAGTGTATTGCGCACTTTTAATTTAAATGTACTGCTATATGCACAAAAGTGCAATATGTGGTTTGCAAACACTTTAAACAAACAAGGTGCTTTTACCAGAAGCGTTCCCTTTACACAGTAGCAATAAATATTCTTGTAAAACTCAACTTAAACATTAATGTAATCAAAATAAATATTAAAACAAAGCTATTTGCCACTGCCAGGCTTTACCTTTTATCTAGCTTGTTAAAACAAGCTACCATCAGAGTCCAGTTTTCTTGTGTTTTATCAGGGCGCAGAATAACAGTCTGTGTTCAGTAGGTTTAGTAGTCCATCACAAGGTGTAGCGACAAGCGGATGCGTTCCCGTGAAAATGTTGCAGTTGTGCTTGCCTCATGCACACGCCCGCCTGCTACCGAAGTTCAATTATTTTGAACTTTTTGTACGCGGCGCAGAGCACAGATCATTGGAAGACACTGATCCTCGCTGTTTGTGAGTTTCCAGAATCTATTACTGTTTACCAAATAGTTATCAGGAAATCAACAGGAGGGAATTTGCATAGCAGAGCATCCCCGCAGAACTAGATGTAGGCCTTCAGGTATAGCCTATAATTTTAAGTTAAATAGGATACAGCTGTGTAGCGCACAGAAGCCGTTGCCATGGTTGGGGAGAGTGGGGTAAGTTTGTCTCGTGTGTAAGTTGTCACACTGCTCATAACTCCAACACTAGAGGCTCTATGTCAAAAATCAAATAGCCATTTTGTGTTACTTCTTTTTCTATGTTTAACTTCCTGTTCACATTTGGTCATGGTCACTCTAATCGAGGTGAGCATAATTTTTATTTTTTTTTTCTTCAAAAGTAAAACATTTGCACTTTACATTTTATGTATTCCAACTAACATTAGCTTTAGCTAACATTAGCACACATGTCAGATGGGGCAAGTCGTCACATGTGATTACTTGCTCCAGTTAATATACACACACAGAACATGCTCAAAAAACTATGTGAAATTGTGTAATTACCTCTGACATCAGTATTAAATGATATGTAATAGAATATTACCATAAACTTTGAATAATACCCGGGCTATTTGCTAAATCACTAAATTGACCCTGCCTTTATTTGGGACAGGCGTCCATATGGGACAGGCCTTTAATTCTTTTTGCACAAAACTGAAACTACTATGAAACAGTTTATTTATTTAAAACAGAATAATATTATGTAAAATGATCACGAAAACAACAACAGGTGATGAGAGAAGTTAGCAGACAAGAGCGATGGACTTCACATGACAGGATTCACAACTTGGATAAATTTTTCTGAAAAGCTGTTTTGATTCTTTAGATGGGTGGACCCTTACAGACTAAAGGAATATATTAAATAATCAGGAACGGACACATTCGGACTTAACGAGCTTTAACATGCACTTCAAGTTAACGTGAGTCAGTACTTTTCCCCCTTTTCCTCTCTTGAAGCCATGCATGTAACCAGTAAATCTGAAAAGGATTATACTTTGGGTCTTATTGTTTCCCTAAATGAACTTGGTATTGTGGAGAATCTAACCGCTCTACGATGTTCAGCATGTCCATACTGAGATATTGATCATACGTTTAAACATT